CGTGAAAAACAGCGTGCGCCAAAAAAGGGTGCGAAGCAACGGAAACCCCGCCTCCTGCGCTCGCCAGCTGGGCTCTGCTCTAGGAAGGAGGCACTGGCAAGCCACTTCCGAAACACCTTGCCTTGAAAACTGCAAAGGACTTGTCCAAAGCAATCACTTCAGAGTCGGTAACGACTGAGCGCAGATTAAAAAAAAAAAAAAATTAAGGCAGGAGACAGCAACTTGCAGTCTTGGACTAATTTTAATTGCCCTCAGCTTAAAATCCATTTTTACAAGTAATAAATTCACAATAAAGATCAGTCTCTTCCTCAGCAGACTTTATGGTGTGAAATCAATCAATCATACCAATTTATTACAGTCATTGGCCAGTGATTAATAGAACTTCATAACAGAAAGTATAAAATACAAGAAAAATTAAAAACCAAGGAAAGATGATGGGTGCATAAGTGGAATCAAAGGTATAAGTGCAATCTTTAAAATAAGAGTAAACTGAAATGAGGTATCAGTGATATGAGTTTAACTGATTAAAGTTAAAATTATTGAACTGTTCAAAACTAAATTAAGAGCCTAATAAAATACTAATATGCTAAGAGAAATTTATAAACCAATAACCTCCAGACAAATTTTAAGAAAAACAATTGAACTTCCATAGGATCAATAAGTTTTATTTGGTTAATAAAAACAAATAAGCTGCAATAAATCTAAGTGGAGAGGGTTGACCTCAGTTTGAGAGAGTATCTACCAGTAATTATGATTAAATAAAAGGACCTTCAATGTGTTTGCCCATACCCAGTCCGCTAATTATCTGTTGACAATTGCTGCAACACAAAACCTGGCAATGTTACATGTGATAAACATTTTCTTGTCTGACAGAAGAAAATCAATGAGAAAACTTTCATTTTGACCTGTAAAATGTGTCAGTAAAGAAAGAGTAAAGGTTGCTTGACTGATCTGGTAATGGGCCAAGTAGGGTGTGAAAGAAAAGAGAGTGAATGTATACAGCTCTGGCATTTCCCATTGCTTCCAGCTGTCACTGTTGACACAGATGTAGCCTCTGGAATGGGCTTCAACAACAAAAAAGGCAGTTCATACATGCATTATGGTACAATTTTATGACAGCAGAAATACTTGTTGGCTTTTCAGTAAATGATAGACTTTTAAAACAAGGGACTGACAGGCAATTTCCTCAAATGCCTGGGTAATGTTCCTAGTGTTGTTGCTGGTTAAGAGAGAAAGGCCTGTTAAGGGTCACTAGATCAGCCAGGAAATAACAAGATAGGTCTGCTTGCAATCTATGTATTGATTATGTTAGTCTTGATAGATAATCAGTTCTCTTGGTCCTTGGCACATTATATTTAAATATATAGATAGAACTTAGTCGTTTTTTCTGACTTTTATGCTGTAATTAAGTAGCACTTGCAGTTCTACCTTTTCATGAAATGTAGATCTAAAGGCGCTGCTTATCTGCATGTTTTGCATAATTTTATTTTTTATAATACAATGGGCCATGGATAGTAAATTTATTTTGATAGGTTATTATTGTTAAATATTATCTCAGTTCATTTAGATCCATTTATATACACTGAGATAAGCACTATATTTAAGGACACAATAACATACTTTTGCAGAGCTCAAAACTACTTCTATATAACTTTTATAAAAGTATGTAAGTATTGAATCTTAGAAACAAATATCTATCTTTCCTATTTGAAAACCCATTTCCTTTAAAACATGTTTTGCTGTGGTAAAAAACATTGTGAAGCATTACATTGCAAGCAAATCACACTAAACAATGCAAGAATAATTTCAAAATAGCTTAATTAGATTTGGCACTATTATAAGCACATTATTTAACATTCAGTACAGTTCTGCATAGCCAGATCTTCAGTATATATTGATATTCTAGTGACACCTTTCCTTGTAAATATATAGATCTATACTCATGAACCCCCAATCTGTTTCATATTAAATGGGAAAAGTTGGTTTCTTAGATCCTGTTTAAACAAAAGTGGAATTTGTAGGAATATGCCAAGTTATTATAAAACTAAAGGCACTTACAAATGTTATGTATATTGTTATTTTAAAATTAAAGATTCCACAATTTAGTACTACTGTGATCTACCAGTAGTTTTTGGCCTAATTTTAAAAGTTTGTGGGATGCTGTCAATTTACATCTCAGGCAAGAAAGATATGTAATAATAGCAGCTGAGGAATGTAAATTGGAATGAGAACTTTTCATGTTCTGCCCCTAACAGAAGAAAGATTCCCCATTCCTGGATTTCTATAACAAATAAAAAGCGTGTAGTAGCTGTTGGTACCATGGATGTGAGGGGATTGAGGAAAGGGATGCTTATTTCATTGAAAAGTGCATTTCCCAGGGAGTGAATATGCAAAAAAAGTCTGTGGATTCAACAGAAGGAATTACAATACCTGAAGCTATTGTGGGTCTCAATTCCTCCTGTAATCTATCGAGCAAAATTACATAAGTGCTGTATCTCTCATGGGAAAGTGGGGATACTAAGCCTTTGAATTAGATGTTTTCTACTTCCGTAGCTGAGAAGATAGAGGGAAGAGACATTTCCTTGCATTTTCATAAATAGTGCCATCGGCAAAAGAGGAAATGGCTGCTCTTTTAACATAGTAAACCTAGTAAACTTTCTAAGCATCTCCTAACACAGCATTTCTCAACCTCAACAGCTTAATAAGTGTGGACCTCAACTTCCAGAATTTCCCAGTCAGCATGCTGGCTGGGGAATTCTGGGAGTTAAAGTTCACATATCTTCAAGTTGCTGCGGTTTAGAAACTCTGTTCTAACATATATAAGTGATAGGACTAACCAGTCCAATATCCATTTAAACCCCACTACCATCACATACTTGAGTCAGTCACTTCGTCTGATTTTTGCCTAGTGAGACCATTGTCAGCAATGCCACTAGGACTGAGGGATCTCCTGCATAAAACGCCTTCCCGCCTCTTTTCCTGCTATGCTCGTCTGCTCTTTCCCCTATCCTCTTGCTGTACGCTTGCTTACTGTACACTTGATTCGGAGTTTCTTTTAAACTGGACAATCCTGGGCCTGCCCTGCTGAGGCCAGGAGTGATACTGAAGATACTCAGTAGTATCTCCGGATTGGCAATGGCCCTCTAAGCTTGTAGATAAGATTTCTTCTCCCCACTCTTGACTGGAGAGGTCAGGGTTTGAACCTATTCTTTCTAAACCCAAAGTGTAGGGTTATCTTCAGAAGAAGCTGGGGTCCAAAATGGGGCTGCCCAGCCCCCCCAGCCAGAGCAGTTCTGTCTTACTACATATTGCAAAACGAAAAATAGTATGCATTATCGTCTGAACCCCTCTCCCCAGACGGTTGCAGCGTTCAGACACCAAGACGTGAATCTGCAAGTCAATGGGGCTTCTTTGGTAGCAACCGGGGGGGATCAGCGAAGACCACAAAGGCTGCGTTCATACACTGCTCGGCC